GTCGAGGCGGTACCGGCCGCGGTGGTCGCGGAGGCCGTGGAGGTCGCGGCGGAGGCCGGGGCGGACGCAAGGGCGAAGAAGACGGCGAGAACCGCCCCAAGCCTACTGGGCATGGCCCCGAGGGTTGGAAGTCCCAAATCGAGATGTTCTGGCGTCCCGAGACGGCCGAGGAGCGCGCGTACATTTCGAAACGCAACGGCGCGCCCGAGCAGTTTACGCCTAGTCTCAGCGTCGGCGACCTGCTAGGCTTCAGGCCCGCCATGCCCCTCTCGTCGGCGGCGCAGCCCGTCGTGCAGGCGGCGACGGTGCTGAGCTCGCTGCGGGAGGTTGCCGGCGCGGCGGATTACACGCCCGAGCGGTGGGGCGACGTGCGGCACACGGCCGAGACGCTGGCTAATACCCGGGACCGGGGCGTGTACTTCTTCGTCGACGGCGCGGAGAAGAAGGCGTTTGTCGAGGCGCGCGAGGAGAGGACGGGCGAGAAGGCGGCGGCGGAGGAGAAGCCTGACGCTATTGCGGGCGTCGTCGACGACGATGTCCACGTCCACGCCGTGCGGGACCTGAAGCTCGAGGAGGGCGCGAGCAAGGCCGTGAGGGAGTATATCCTCCAGCGGGCCGTCAAGGGCCAGCACGTCGGTCCCAAGTTCGTGCCGGGCGGCAGCCGGGATCCGGTCAACATGGCTAAAGAGTCGCATCTGCACAACGAGACGTACGTGGCGGGGGATATGAAGAAGTTTGACGACAAGATTGCGGCTCTTGTTGCTAAGAAGGGTGCTGCCGGTGCCGCCAAGGGGGGCAAGGCTGCGAGGGCTTGATTTGGAAAGCCTGGGTCTTTCAAGAGATTGTAATATCAACAAGGATGGTAACAAGTACGGGAAGAAGAGCGGAGACGAAAATGCAGATGGGCGATTTGTTGTATGATTATAGAGATGGGGAGGTTTGGTACAGGCAAAAGAAAAATACATATTGTACAACTAGATCCGAAAGTCTCTTCTACTGTACACTACGGATTGAATCTTTGCTCCCGAGACTTTTCATGGTTGCAACTACCTCGTTATACTTGGGGAAAGCAACATCTCCTATTGTAATGTGACCCGTCGAAGACTTTTGAGCTCAATAACTTGGGAAAGTGTTCCATCTGTTCCCAGAACTTAAGCTTGCAACTTCCTGACAGCCTGCTGCTCAGCAACATCGACAACCTTCATCTCCTTATCCTGCACCTTTTGCAGCTCCTTGTCCGCCCGCCTCTTGAGATCCGGCACGATGCTCTTCTCCTTCTCCCACTTTGCGTGCAGCTTCTTCCTCTTCTCCGTCGCGACGCGCATCTTGTCCCGCCACGCCTGGGCGGCGTCCTTTGCCCGCCGCACGACGACCTCCTTGTTCGTCGCCTCGACCTTGAGCACGAGCTCGAGCTCGTTGTCCGGGTCGCGCTGCGGCTGCTGGTTGAAGTCGGGGGAGGCCTGGACGGCGGCCATGACGGGCTTGACGTAGTCCTTGTCGTGCAGCAGGAGGCTGACGGTGCGCCCCCCGGGGCGGGGCACGATCTCGGCGAGCTCGCGGAGGGGGTAGGTCGTCGGGTCCTTGCGGTCGGGCTGGATGGCGAGGGCGCCGATGGCGTCGGGCGAGAAGCGGTCGCCGGATTGGAGTTTTTTGAGGATCTCGGTGTGGTGGGAGGAGAGGGAGGCGAAGCGGGAGGCGACGTCGGCGAAGTTGAGGGGGTCGGTCGGGTCTGGTTTCGGGTGCTTTGAGCCCGGGAGGTCGTCTGTGTCGGCTTCGTCTGCGGTGTGGGAGGTGCGGGAGACGACGGCGGGGGAGTCGGCTGTTGGGTATTTGGGCTCGTTCTTCTTCTTCTTTTGGAGGGTTGTTGAGTGGGAGAAGGGACGAATCGTCGCGGCGGCGGTGTTGTTCTGCGGGCGGAGAGTTGAGGATACCATCAGGCGAGCTGCGAGCGGTGCCTGGATTGCGCTGCTGATTCGGGTCAATTGAAGTCGCGTGGTCGAGCTGGTAAGGGAGATCACCTTTGAGAAGCTGGTAGGATGCCATTGGCGCCTCTGAGGAGCGCATTGGGAGCTCTGAGTCCTCGCATGGTGTCTTTGTGGGTTGTTATGTGTGTTGTGTTACTGACTGGCAGTCGGAAGCTCTCGCAATTTTGAAGCGCTGGATGTGACGTACGGAGCTCCCATGGCGGACTCGGCTCCACTTCTGAGGCATCTTGTCCACAGAGTCGGGGTAAACCTTCAACCAGAAGCATCCGGTCGATTGGCCCAGCGGTTTAAGGCATCTGCTTTACACGCAGAGGATCGCAGGTTCGATCCCTGCATCGATCAATAACTTCAACTTTTGCATTTTGAGATTCCTGGGAATGATTCTAAGGTGCAGAAACATGTTTCGTTGTCACTTTTACTCTTGTAGGCCAAAAGCAAGACATGGACGAGGATGCAGTGAGGTGCACTTGAAGCTCAACCATTTTTTGCATTAACTTTGCATGTACTGCCGGTAACTTTGGAGCTTGGAGCGGGAAGCTGCCAACCCGTTTAGACGCATTGTACCTACGAATACACCTACCCCAAGACCCCCCAAAGTTCTCTGAGGTAGGTAGCTAGAGTCGCGCTTTTTCACAAGCAGGCGACGTCAGTGGGAGGCTCAACCTTTCAACCACCACTTACTTCATCCAAACACCCCATACCCGCCAAAATGGAGATCGAGGTTGACGAAGATCTCTTGCGGACGGTTGCGACAGGCGGCGAAATGGACTAGTAAGTGAACTTGTTGTCTTCCCTTTCCATCTCCTGTTTAGCTGCTAATTGCATGGCGCATCAGTGGTCTATGGCCCGCCCTGTCGCAAGGAATCATCTCGAGGCTAGATAAGGTACGTCCGCCCCCAAGTCTGGCTTCGACCGGAAAATCCCACCATCGTATATCTATGAAAGACGAAATCTCCTCGGTAGGGCGCGCTCACCAGTTCGCATCGCGAATATCTAGATCGCCCACAATGCATTCCCTATTCCGAACCTACCCACCCCTCCTCAACCCATTAACGCGTCAGGCCAACAACCACGACTACTCTCGCCGCTCCCCTCGTCCTCCATCGATCCCGCCAGCAGCCAGCCGTCATCACAGGATGCCGACAAAGAGAACAGCCAGCCTAAAGATGCCTCGCCGTCCAAGGCCACGATCGAAAGCGCTACTGATGCCGACGCAGCTGTCGCCGACGCACCCCCGTCCACCGCCTCGAGATCGCTCCCTGCACAGATTGAAGCCATGCTGAACGAGATCAACACTGTCTTGGCCAGCTTCCCAAAATACCCGCCGCACACGATTCAGCGTCTTGCCGAGCTCGTCCTCGAGCCGCGCCGCCATTACCGCCACCTGGCATCGTACCTCCATGCCGTCGACCGCGTCGTGCATGTGACCAGTGGCGCAAACACCTACCCTCTTCCGCCAGCCATACCCGACATGTCTACCATGACACTGCTCTCCAATGGCAGCGCGAACGGCCAGGAGGTTAACAACCCAGCGGCTTCGGTCGCCTGGAGCAACTCGACCAACTCAGTCGCCTCAACCGTCGGCACAGACGAAGCCCTTGGCGGTGCTCTACTAACCCCGATCCCGTGGCTCACACGCCGACCAAGCCCCGGCTCATCCTCGCCAGCCTCTTCAAATGGCGGTGGACCGGCCGAGATTCGTACCGAGTCAACGGAGACCATCGATGGCCCTAATGGCGTCGGAAGTATCGAGACCGTCAGCGTCAGTGTCAACGGCATACCGTCTATGGGCGCCAGCAGCAGCCGCGCGATAACACAAGGTGAGTTACTGCGACAAGAGCAGGAGCAGGGCGTCGTTCCAGTCAACCAACTCGTGCGACAAGCAGAAGAAGCACAACACGCCGCCGCCCTGCGAAGCGGGGACGGCGGCAGAGCCAGTAGCCCCGAGAAGCAGCAGCAGGATGATGAGCAGCAGGACGCTGCCGGTGCTGCTGCCGCTGCTGAAGACGAGAACGAGGCGCCGCACGCTCGCGGCCCCGAGGAGATTGGTGTTGGCGACCTCGGCCCGCAGAGCGAGACGACGAGCTTTGTGGGCGGTGGGCCCGGTCTTGATATGCAGGGCATTGATGTTGAGGCTGCGGTGGGCAGGAAAGCCGCCACGCCTCCTCCCGAGGACGTCAAGGAGGGTGATGCCGCAGCGGAGGATGGGATGAGGGCGGATGCGGTTGTCGATGACGCGGCATCCGACACGAGTATCACGTCGCATCCTAAACGTGACGCTGACGAGGAGCTCGATGGTCTTGCGAGCAAGAAGGTCAAGGAGCACGAGGGAGACATTGCGGGCGAATCAACGGATGCTACAACCCCTACCTCGCCCAAGGAAGACGACACCAAGGAGGAGGATGCGAAGGAGGCCGAGCCTGGTGAGGCCAAGGCCGAAGAAGGCAAAGATGAGGAGACTGAGGCCAAGAAGGATAATGCGACGGACGAGGCTACTGCTGCAGAGGCGGCAGCGGCAGCGGCAGCAAAAGCGAAAGACGCCGAGATGGCTGCCAAAGCAGGAGGCGCTTAGGAGGGAACGTACAGGGTCCTTCGCTCAATGAGTGAGTTGTGTTGCGGATGATTATATGATACCAAGAAACCGTCTTCACCAAATATCTACATCGTCGTTTGTCATCCTTGTGATTTGAGATTTGAAGCATTGCCGTGAGTTTGGGTCGACCTGGCGCGTTAATATCGATTGATTTCAAAGTCAGGCATAAAGTTTTGACGAGGCATACGAGAGGTAACATTACAAAACTCATGAGGGGTCTATAATAGTCTCAACCATATCATTGCCAACTCAAGTGGCAAGGTAGTATTCGTGGAGCTCTTTGACTACATGGGCGAAGAAAACAAAGTAGTAGACAGCCGTAAACCTCCCAAACGCCATGCGCTATTCCACGGCCCATGATGAAGCAGCTCCGAATTCCCATACCTTTCCCACATAAACGCCTTATGAACAGACAAATCTCATCACAAGACCCTGGTAATACTCTCCTTCGTAATGACACTGTTCTGCTTGTCGTCCCGCCGAACCCGGAAGAAGCTGTCGCAGAAGTCGCTGCAGCGCATGTGTCGCAAAAACTCCTCGTCGTGCGTGATGACGATGAGCTGGAAGTTGCTCTGCGCCTGGCGCGCCTTGATGATGGCGTGCAGGCTCTCGGCGAGGCTCTTGATGTTGTCCTTGTCGAGATTGGTCGTCGGCTCGTCGAGGGCGATGAGGCCGCAGTTGACGCCGAAGCTCTCGGCGAGGGCGAGGCGGATGATGATGCTGGCGAGGACCTTTTGACCCGCTGAACAACGGCCGCGCATGTCCATCTCGGTGTCTTGCTTGACCATGCAGACGCGATAGTTGTACGAGCGGCGGCCCGTCGTCGCATTCTCGTTGTCGGAACGGATGAGGATGGTGTCAATATCGGTACCCTGGTACGTGCTCTGCCACAACTCGCCGGCGATGCGGTTGATCTCCTCCATCTTGAGGCTGTGGTACCGCATGATAGCCGTGTCCAGCGCCGAAATGTAACGGCCCAAGTCCTCAATGGCAGCTTTGGTTGTCTCAACCTTGATGTGCGACTCACGATACTTTCTGGAAGAGTTCTTGTACTCTTGTTGCCACTCTTCCAGGAGTCGCTCAAGTTCCTCGTCTTTTGTCTTCATCTGCCCCATGATAGAGCCACGGTCGGCGACCAGTCGGTTGTGGCGGTTCTCCAGGTGCTTTGCTTCGGAAATCAGCGACTTGTAATCTTCGTCAGCGTCACGAGACTCCAGTTCTGCAATGTCTCGGCGGAGGATGTCGAGCTGCTGCAGGTTCTGGCGGTACTTCAGGTTATTGCTGATATTTTGCTTCTTGCGATCACCGTTATCAATGTCCTGCTTCAACTTGTTCGTCCGCACGGTTAAGTCCGAAATTTCCTTCTCCAGACCAGCAATCGACTTCTCGAGGCTAGCGATAGCACGCTGGTTTGCTGCCAGGTTGGAAGGGCCGCCCCGGTCAATGTACTCCTGAATATCACTCTCAACCATCTTGAACTCAGTAACGGAGTCGGCAACCTTGTCGCGCTCCTCGGCAACAGACTGTTCCTTGCCACGGCCGCGTTGCAAGGTTTCGTCCCGGACTGATCTGGCCTCGGCGATCTCCGGCTCGATAGATTCTAGCTCCTGGTCGGCGGTGTTGATCAAGTCTCGTTGGTGGGCCTGATCCTCCTTTAAAGTCTGGATCTGGTTCAGGAAGTCCTTTTTACGTTCAAGCTGGTTCAAGGCCTTGCTTAACTTATTCCGGAGCTCGCTCTTCTCCAGCTCGAGAGAGTTCACCTGGTCCCTCATCCGCTGCCAATCCGTCGTCGTCTTTGAGATCTTACCCTTTATCATTCGAATCTGTTCGTTGCATGAAGCCTGAAGGTCATGTATTTCATCAGCGCTCCTGCTGACGTTGCCAGATGATTGCTGAGACATGATTCTGTCAACCTGCGCTTCGGAGTCTTTAATGTCCTTCAAAACTTGTGTGATGTTGATGACAGTCTTGTTGAGAGACTCTATGTCGTTCAGTTTACCTTCCTCGGTGCTGACAGCGGCGTCATGCTCCTCGAGCTGCCGGCCCAGAGTTTCACATTCCGCTTCGAAAGAAGCAACCTCTTCCTTGAGAGGAGGCAGCTCCGACATCAGCCTCTGGTACGTTTCGTACTGCGTCTTCACCTTCCGCAGTGAGCCGAGTAGGGCGTTAGAGTTGGCGAGATCTTCCTCTGCCTTTTCCTTCTTGTTGGGATCAAGAAACTTGATCAACTTGTCTGAGAAGCGAGACTTGGAAACGTTGGATTTGTCATCAAAGTTGCGGTCGCACAGCCGGCATTTGTTCTTGTCTTGCAGGGTCTTTTGACAACCGCGGTAGTAATCCGCCAAAGCATCAAGAAGGCTGATATCAGTGGTGTACGTCTCCACGTCTTCCTCATGCATCTTGACTTCTTCTTCGTAATCCTCAATTGTTGCACCGTCTCGAACCGCCTGCAAAGCACCAACGACCGCAGTCCGACAACGTTGTGCTTCATCGGTTTTTTTGGAACCAATGTCTTTGGCGCTCTTGAGTCTGAAGTCGACCTTCTGTTGCTTGTCCCGCGCAGTATCCCGTTTCTGGCGAGCTTCAGAAACAACCTTGTTCTGGCGCTTCACGGCATCGTGGAACTGGGCCTCGAGAGTGTCGGTCTGCCAAGTGGTGCCAATATGCGTGTCTAACTTGGGCTTCCATGTGGTGGCTAGGGTCTCCAGTTTTCGCTTGCGATCTGCCAGCTCTTTCTTTCTCAAATCCAGCTGTGCCCGCTCCGAGGCAAGTCTGGTGCACTCAATTAATTCGCGTCCAAGTTTTTCCGTCTCGCTCTCGAGTTGCCACAGCTTCTCGTTTTCCGACTTGAGCTGAGTATCGTAGTCGGCACTACTCAAGGACTCCTGAGCTTTCTTCAACCTGCCTTCGACATCCTCGAATTGGCTGTCTAAAACGGCCTTGGCGCCCTCGTCAATGTCCAGACGATTAATGTCCATTTGCAAGACATTGGTCCGCTTCTCAATGGCACCCATTCGTTGCTTGGCGAACACACGGTTTTGCGTCGTGGTTGCCTTCCGGCCCTCCAGCTCCGTAATGACCTTGGTCGCCTCGTCTAGCTCACGCGCGTTCTCCTTTTGTAGACGTTCGAGATCACGCTTCTTCTCAGCTAGTAGCTTCTGGATGCGCTCGTTGAACGCCTTGATCTGACTGTCCTTCAAATCACCATCGTAGCCGCGGAAGCCGTGAAGTTCTGCTGCATCTCGGACCAAGTGCATACGGGACTGAAGTTGCCGTTCATACTTGTCCTTGTCAGATTGGTGTTTTCCCTGCTCGGCGAGCTTCGCTGAATGTTCTCGACGAGACTGTGTAAGATCCGTTTGCAGCTCCGAATATTGGGCCTTGTTCTGCTCTGATTCTTCTTGGTACCGAGACATGCGCTCTTCGTATTGCGCAAGTGCATTCTCCAGGTATTCGTCGGTCTCGGAAAGCTCTTCAAGGGTCATCTTGATATCCGCGATGGATCCTTCGCGGTAGCTGAGCTGATCTCTCTTGAACTTGAGGTCATTGACGATGCTCAAGTAGCTGTTGGCCTGCTCGTGCTTCTCGCGGATCTGCTCCTGAAGCTCCTCCATCTCCTCTGTGAGGGCATTGCACTTGTCCCTGGAGCTCTCGATATCGTTCTGCAATGCCATAGATCGCTTCTCGGCACGGTCGCCCTTCTCCTTATTGATTCGGTCTTGTTCCTCAAAGATCTTGAGCTTGGCAAGTTCTTCGCCCTGCTTCTTTCTGAGAACCTTGAGGTTGTCAATGGCTTTGGTGTATCGCATCGCTTCGAAGATCTGGTCGAACTGCTTCTTCAGGGCCGAAGGCTCACTCATGGGCCAGAGAGATTCGTCTTGATGGCAGAAGATGACGTAGTCGAGGATTGCTCTGGAAACGCCCAATTCTCTCGGGATGAATTCATCCATCTGGGCGACCCGGGATGAAATGACGGTACGCTCGCCATGGTTGTTGTACACTAGTGATCCCTCGAGAGTCTTGAGCGATCGAGTGGTTTTCTTGACGGTTAACTGAAGGCTTCGTGTCGCAACGCATTTGTGGCTGCTAGTTGATGTGAACGCAAGCTTGACTTGGGCCAAGACTTCCTTCTCTCCGCAGAGCTACAAAATGTTAGCCTCACTAGGTGAATTGGACGGAAGAATGAGGCACAAACCTTGGGGTCATGGACGAAAGCACCGCCTTTGCTGTTCGGAGGTTGCTCGCCGGTGGTCGCATACTTGAGACACTCGATAATGGTCGTCTTACCCGAGCCGTTGTAACCGACGATGAGTGTCAAGGGAGTGTAGAAGGAAATTGTCTCCCTGCTGCCACCAAAAGAGCGAATGCCCTGGATGGATAGCTTGTCAATTTTAGACATGGTGACTTGGGGCCAATGCCATGCGATGAGGTGGGATTGGGCTGATCAATGAGGCGCGGCTCAAGAAGACGTTGACACGAAAAGTTGGGCCCAATAGGAAAATCTCGCAAGAAAGGCAGGAGAGTCTTTTTGTCTTCTCGTTTGGAAAGTTGCTCCTAGGGTGGCTCGTCGTCGCCGTCCAGGCTCCAATGAGGTCGACACAGAGGCGGATAGGTGCCTTGAGTGGGATGCAGGTTGTAGGGGACGTGCACCAAGGAGGACGCGCCTTCCCGGCGGCCAGGCACGCGTTGATGGAGGTGCGAAAAAGCGTGACTTCGCATACATGTTTATGTAAGCCGCTGGTGACTTGAGGTAAGGTAGTCAAGCAATACACGCTACAGAATGCTCTATCCGACGGCAGTATCGTTGCTGACTGATCCTCAGCACCGTCGCTCTCCCAAGGTAACGTACCCTGTTAGGTAATATGCGAGGTTCGATATAGATACAGTGATTTGGGTCCCTGGAAACGCCCCGAGTATTACGAGAACACTAGATACAGCAAGTTCAGAGTTGAGATGAAACCCATCTTTTGAATATTTCCATCTCTTGTGTGTGCGCGCCCCGGTAAGATAGGGAGAGCAATTCGAAGTGGGGTGGGTTTCTGAGAGCCTTCAGACAGCTCGAACTAGGTACTTCCTCGGCTGGGGCGCTACTTAATAAGATCGGACTACTTTGGAAGAGCTCCTATTAACTTAGGTGCCAGGTAGAGACGGTGCATGCACAACGTCATCGAGACAACTTGGACTTATTCCTTTGTCAGAAGATGTTCGCACTAGCCTTCCTTGAATGCCCGCATTATCCATATGGCGACACATGTTTGGTAGGCATATTGGAAGAGTTTCTCTTTCCACTGCTTGTGAAACGGCATGTTTCCGAGGCATTTTGCTCCATTACATCACTGGATATCCTACATCAAAGGGACAGGTACTATCAAGCAGGGTTCAGCTCTAAGGTAATTTAGCAGATTCCGTCGAATATCTGATGGAGTTTTGTAATGTTACAATGCGAATACGCCATATCCATAGTCCTTTCTGGTGGGTTGCAGGGAACATTACTCGAGTCAAGGCCTAGAGCGATCGAACAAGCAGCAAGTTGGAGTAAGCGCAGCATGCCCGCTCAACAAGAAGTCTTCAGAAGAAGAGTTTAGAAGAAGTTTGTGCGTATTGGGCAAGCATTCCGGACGTGACGCTCTGACTTTGGTCCTCAGCAGTCCTGATTTTCGTCTGGTTAACGGGACGGAGGGTGAATGACGACTAGGTACTGACATGCTGTAGTTTACAGGTTCTCGACGGATAGTGTTTCCGGTACCATTTGACTTGGGCTGATGCTTTATGTACTCAAGAGACAACCGCCAAGTGCCAGCCACAGTTCACTCCCGAGGCGTGAGGCGCAAGACGTGACAGATAGCGGATACTTTATGGTTCGATACCAAACAAGCCACGAGCCCACGACGTCCAGTCCTAGTTAGGTACTGTCCAACTCCAAGTCAGCCCCACTGAGTGGTCGGGACAAGTCTTTGACCGCTCAAATTGCAGTGCAAGATGGGGTCACAAATGGCTCTAGGTCGGGGCATTTGCTCCGGACAGCGCTATCCCAGTTGACAAGCTGGTCGACCCGTCGGGATGGGCTAGGAGTAGTGAGGGGATTATCGTTGTGCTGAGTTCTCAGGGCATCAGCCTTGGAACAACTTTTGATGGAGCTGGCTACTGGGCATGGGCCGTGCATGCCGGGCGCAAGACCTACGGTGCCCAAGGCATACAGTAAGGCAAGGTGAGCCAAGGTAAGGTAGATGATGCCATTCTTTTCATGCCCGCCATGTGCTGCTTCATACTAAGGTCTGGCTAGCGAGCAAGGTGAGGTGCGGCTTTCCATGAGATACTCCCGTACATACCTACCTAGTACTTAAGTAGGTAGGTAGGTATCAGATGGGACATGGGAGAGTTTTCGGCGGGGTTCAAAGGATAGAGGTCTGGAATTGGGAGGGGGAGTCTATGGTACTACGTAGTAAGTGTACACTCAGTAGGTAGGTACGGAGTACGGCTATGGAGTGAGGTAATGTGCCTGAGGGGAGGGGAAGAGGGGGAAGTTGGAGGCAACTCATTGGGCGGAGAGAAACTGGGAAGTACCTCAGTCTCAGTGAACAGAGGCCCGGCGCCCAATGTGAATGGCCAAGTGACCCAACCCAATGCAAGGAAGGCAGGGTCGGGTGCGATGACGAAGTACCTGCCTTCCTTGAGGTAGGTACGGAGTACTTGCCTGCGCTGTGCCGGCGACGGTGGAGGGGTGCAGCGGACCATCAGCGGTGCAGTTAAGGACGGGATGCGAGGTGAAGGGGGGAAGAAGTCCATAGCCAGAATTGCCATGTGCTCCGTTTCCATTTTGCAGTTTCCCATCCTTTTTTTCCCACCTCATCTCAGGTCCCTGCTTCTTCCATTGCTTCTTGCACCTGCTGCTTCCGCTACCTTACCTACCGCTGCCGCTTCCGCTTCCCTTTTTTTCCCATCCGTATCCGTACCTTACCTTACCTTACTTTACGGAGCTCAATATCTTACGTGCGGGCTCGCAGCTCTGCACCTTCTGCATCCCAGCTCAAGGTAGCCATTCTGTCCCTGCCAAATTTTTGGATGGTGACGACTTGACCTTATTTTCTCTCTCCTTTCCTGCACTGCACTTTCGTGTGCCTCGCACCTTCACGTCTCAACCTTTTTTTTCCCTTTCATCTTTTCCCCCCCATTCTCGTCGTCTCCTCATCCATTCCCTCTCATCCCATTTCACTCCCCCACCGTTCCGACGCAGCTTCTGATCTTCCCTCGCGACCCTGCATCGCTGGCCAGGCCAGGCCGCGCCTCGACTCGACCTCATTTTATGACCCGCGTGCCAACCTGACGGAACCCAATCCAGCCCTCGCAAAGCGTCTCACAGCAGCCAAGACAAGGACCGCAGCCACGGGCTCTCTCTACTACGTACTGTCCATCTCACCCAACGCTGCACTCACTTGATCTGGCCTTCCATCTTGGCCCTCGACTCAAAAGCCCGTCTCATTCATCCACGCACTCAGCTCACTCACTCACTCCCTCGACAACTGGCCCCGTGTACTACTAGGTACTGCTGCCGCTACCGAACCCTCGCTTCCTTTTGCACCGCTGCGAACCAGACAGGCATAGTCAGCCTCTGTACCGATACTCATTCGCAGCCGCAAACCCATCTGGCCCTTTTTATTAATTGATACGAGACCCCGTCGCTTGGAAACATTTCACAGAGAAACATACCACCACCACCACCACCACCATCCCCGTCGACCTTATCTGGGTGCCCTCCGCTTTCTTCTCTCTCTCTCCCTCTCTATTCCCTCGTTCTGTTGCCTTCGCCGGACGCACTCTGAAGTCGTCTTCGAATCCCATTCTTTGGCACCCTTTTCGACAAAAAAATACAAAATAGACGTCCTGACCAAATAGACATGCAAGGCTAAGCCCACTCCTCGATGCACAAAGCCCCGTACCAGCTCGCACCCTACATTCTATCTTGATCTATTTAGGTTCTAGGCCTCTCCGGATCACCAGTTCCTACCCCCCGCACCTGCTCATACCCATACGACGGTCCTCGCGACTTAGACCAACGAGCTCACTCTCTCGCGCTTTCACAGCTCACCGTTGTTGCACACCCAGTAAGCTACTGCTGGTTGTACCTGGCATTGGCCCCAGTTCGAACCTGGTCCTCGCTCCAGCCACAGGCGCAAGCAACCATCTTATCGCAGTTTGACTTGCCAACAGACGCACGAGACGGTACATACCTTGCGAATAGACCCAGCCGATTTGCAGTGCCTACCGCCTTACATTGGCCGCCAGGTGAACGGGACCGCATTCTGCTCCCCCCGGGCACACTTCCCGTGCATCGGGATCAAGTCAGCCCCCTCAAATCGCCAATGCCTTTGTTAGAAGCCGTCAGGGCCAGTATCGGAACAGTACCGCAACCATGTCTCACGGACCACCTCAGCCTCCAACCAATTTTCTTGGCTTTGGGCCCCAAGATGCCTATTCCGCCTTTGAAGCTGTTCGTTCCGCCCGCTTTCCTAACCATGCTCCTCCTCCTGATCTGATAACTCATTTTCTTCCCCTCGACCGCCTCGCTTACCTCTCCTCTCTGTCACCCTTCCCGACCTCTGACCCGCCAGACCCCCCGGCGCATCGTTTTGAGAAACCACCCCCATTACTACAATTCGCTACAGACCGCTCCAACAACGCGCTGACGCAATGCAGATGGCGGAAGCCGACCCCAACATCATGTCGTCTCTCCTGGACTCGACAGTCTACGGAAGCTTTGACGCCATGTCCATGAGCGTCGACAACCCCAACGACGAGAACGCCATGTCTACCTTCAACTTTGTCGGCAATACACCAATGCCTGACGGCCTCCCCGACGATACCCCTTCCATGAATAACAATTACTCCAACAATGGCGACGATACCTCCAGCGTTGTTGGTGGGGGCCCCATGCCTTCGAGCGGCTTCAATTCGCAGGCTTTGCAGCAGGCCGGCAGCACCCTCACCGAATTCACAAAGAGGCGCAACTGGCCAGCAAAGGTCGTCGAAGAGCTTAAAGACTTTCTCCAGATACTCGACGCCAATGGTCGCATACGTTTCGTCTCCCCGAGCATTCTAAATCTTACGGGTTATACCGCCGACGAAATCCTCGACACGTTCCTCAAGGAACTCGTTCACCCTGACGACCAGGGCGTCTACGTCGCCGAGCTAAACGAGTCTATAGCATCAGGAAACCCGCTACGCTTGTTTTTCAGGCTAAAGAAGAAGGATGGTAAATACGCCATTTTCGAGTCGGTCGGTCACGCCCACATCGCCGCGTCCAAGTTTGCGCCGAACCCACACAATCAAACGCCGTTTTGCCAAGCCGTCTTCATGATGTCGCGCCCGTATCCAACAAAAAATGCTGGCTTGCTGGACTCATTCCTGGAACACAAGATTGAGAACGAACGTTTAAGGAGGCGCATTGCTGAGCTGCGCAAGGAGGAAGACATGGAGAATGAAGAATCACAGAGGCAGTGGCTCCAGAGCCAGGAAGGCAGGTCGGACGTAACACCATCAGAAACCACAATGACATCCGCCCCGAGCGCCATATCTCGGGCCGGTGACGGGGGCGACAGGTCATCAGCCCTCAACGTTGCGCTTACACGCGAAGCACTGGAGGGTGTTGCGGGGAGCCGCCCGGATTCACTAAAGGACAAGATGGCCAGATATGAAGGGAACTCACACACTGATACCATTGAGATGTTGACCGGACTGAGATACATCGAGGGCGAGAGGAGCCGCGGCATCACAACAGGCAACGCGAGTCCGACCTTGATCAAGGGAGACGCGGGCATTGCGATTCCACAGGACCGGGACCCTCGGACAGGTGACAAGAAGAAGAAGCTCAAGACTTCGGAGGAATATGTCTGCACGGATTGTGGTAAGCTCCAACTTGGGTGCGGCTTGCAGGCTGCTTGGTATGGCAGGATGCACGCAGCACACCGGCTAACGATGATGATCTGAATAGGTACCCTGGATTCTCCGGAATGGCGCAAAGGCCCTAGTGGACCGAAAACATTATGCAACGCGTGTGGCCTTAGATGGGCCAAGAAGGAAAAGAAGAATCGACACGGTAACAACAACGCTCATCACTCAGGATCGTTGCAAGTCGAGCATGGCGGAGGTTAAGTTTTAATGAGTCACCACTGGCGCATTGGTCGGCAAGTGCCCACGAGGACTGCCCTGGGCGTGGTCATTCCACATGCACCGGAGTTGGCGTCTGGAAGACGGCATGGCGCAGGATATCAACTTTGACGGACATGCAGCTGTTTGCCATGTTTCCAGCTTTGTTATTTCACAGCAATCAAGATACCTGAAGACAATTAGGTCATGGGAAGGAGGAAGGTCGTAATTTTGGCAAGAGCAGTTTCCAACAGCAGAATCTATTTCAAGCCATGTTGCTTCAACCGACGGGGTGATCATCCGGTCAGGCGAGTCAGACGCAGTTGATGTCCGCAGCGGCTCGGGCGGGACCTACCCGGACGTGCGGTCCTGTTTATCGCAGTTCGGCCGGCGGTCAAGATTCGACCCCAGTACCGGCTAGGAGGTGTAGCCTGGCTATCGGCGGGCGGCAGGCATCGCGTCGTGCCTGGTGTTCCGAAGCGGATCAGCATTTGGCATTGACTGGCTACCTCAGCCACAGCTTGCCTCTCCAGTTTCTTCCCGCGGCAGAGGCGTACCGTCGAATCCAGGCTGCCACGCTCGGGATCTGAGTTGATTGCAGAGTATTACATCCGTTCCAGACCCGAATTCGCCTCGTTCACGCGTCCATGGCCATCCATCGACTGGCGTTGACACATGAAAGCCCGGGGGTTTCCTGAAACAGGTCGTTCGCCCTGGAGCTCTACACACAGCTTGGCAGGCTTCGTCCTTGCATAGAAGCGACTCAGGCCATCCCCGCGCGAATGAATTGCAGCCACTACCTTACGCTGCGCGACTGCTTTGCGAGGGTGTGTAGAGCTTGCTACTGTGGGTGAGACATAGGAAGCTAAGGTACCTAAGCAACAACCAAACGTGCTAGGTTCCGTTGATCATCCAGGCGGGGGGCCTCTCACAGAAAGGACCCCGCTGTCGGGGCGGATCAGCTGTGGAGGGGTACCTACCCTGTGAGGGGCTACTTCAGGGTCCAACTGAGGAGCACTTGCCAAGGCACCGCCCATGGAGCCCAAACACCTCACCTCACCAAAACATCTGGCCCGGTTCTTAACGACTGCACACATTGTATCGCCTGCTCCGACGTGTGTAAGCATCGAGCTGCGTCATTTGAGTTGCACTACCGACATGAGTAGTCTATGGACGGCCCGTGGGCTTGTGGTCCCCTCCCCATGTACAGCTAGCCTGCTCCATACCTTACAGGATGTGTTCTTAGTGGTTCCATTCTACCGCCTGTGCTGCTCAGGTTGTTGATTGTGGCTGTGAACCGGGAGGCCTATCAGACCAAATCAACAGTCTGCCACAGATTCATTGGATGCCGTTCGATTCTGATTCGACGTTGCTTCTGGATTTGGAGGGGGCATGCAATGATGCATGGCCAGCTCAGGGCTCCTGAGACAGTTGATCGCCCGCTTGGTGATGCGGAGACGTGGCTCGCCTGTGCTATTTACAAAGAGCTATCAAAACCTGGGCCTGCCTTACTTACGCTTTTAATTCTTCTCGTTCGCGTCATCTTTCCTCTCTCCTTCATCTCTTCTCTCTTTTCTTCACTTCTTGCAAGACTAAGCGTTCTCTACCCCAAGAACCCCCACACTATTACATCATTACCCATCATCATCATCATCAAGCTACGACAAGCTTCTTCACAATGGACAAGCTCATGAACGCCGCGCAAGAGTACCTCGCCAAGGACGACGATAAGCCCAAGCAGCACCAGCAACAGGGCTACGGTATGTGTGCTCGTTCTCGCCGCCCTTTACAAGCTCTGGTGCCCCTCCATTGGGATACCTTGGTACCCCGCTGTCCCGGATCTTAACCCCGCCCCTGCCCCTGAATATCACCAAAGGTTAAAGAGACTGGGAAAGAAGCTTTTGACTGATTATGATGCTGGAAATCTAGGTCAACCACTTCCCGGCGGCGACAGTAAGTTTTCTTCTCCTTGCTGAAATCTTTTCATCTCATTTTTCCAATCGGACCGAGTTCCCGTTACACTTGGGGGGTGTCAGTCAAATTGCTTGATTTGATCAGCTGCGTGTAATTAACTGGCAGAGAGAGAAATTGAGAGTTCAAGAGCCAGCTAGCTAATCAACCCATGTGCAAAAACAGAGTCCCACGGAGGCAACTACCCCGCCGGCGCCGGAGCCTTCGCCGACGACGAGGACGAGGACGATTACCGCCACGCCGCCAACGAGGCCTCGCGCCACGCGGGGTCGCACGGCGATACGGATCTGTTTTCGAGTGTGCTTGGCGCCTTGACGCAGAAGAAGGGACAGTTGAGGAACGAGGATATTGATGAGGATGGTGCGTTGGTTTCTGTCTTTTTTGGATGTCACTACCCTATATCCCCTTTTACACTTCTTTTCTACTGGCAATAGCACCATGGTGCCGAAAACAGGAGAGAGTGAAAATTAAAGAGAGAGAGAAAGAGAGAGAAGAAATGCTCATCTACACCATGATACCAGTACTGATCTAGAGTACCAACAGAGGCCGTCAACAAGCACAAGAAATACTTTGGCGACGACGACGACGACGAAAAGGCAGACGACAAGGGTCTCGGCGCCGCGGCCGCGATGCAGGCGCTCAAGATGTTCTCGAGCGGGCAGACGGGCGGACAGAAGCAGTCCCAGGGCGGGTTCGCCGGTCTCGCCATGGCCGAGGCCAGTCGGGTGAGTTTCTCTCTCCTTTCCCCTCTACACCTACACTTACACCTACACCTTCGTCTACACCTACATATCCGTCTACGCGTCTACTTTAATTCCCCTGACCAAACCGTCCTCCCGTCGGGGTGGAGGAGTAGAACGAGTGCAATGTAACTAACCCCCGCTACTCTCCCCAATAGCTCTTTGACCAGCGCCAGTCCCAGGGTAAAGTCGCCGACGGCACGAGCAAGGAGTCCGCCATCCAGCAGGCGGGGGAGATGGCGCTCAAGATGTACTTCAAGAGTCAAGGACAGCAGCAGGGCGGTATCATGGGCCTGGCGTCCAAGTTTATGAAATAAAGTGCCTGTCAATGATTTATGGATTAGGTGCGGATAAAGCACGGGGAAACCCACAAAGGGCACGACAATGAAAATGAAATGAATTATATCAAGACCCTATAGAAGTATTCCGTGCTTGATTCATCATCATGATTAGATTTCTTGCAGGCTAGAGGTACTGAGGTAGGATTACATTGGTTTTCTGATACTCATCAAGCGAACAGACGATCTGCCGCATCCTTTTCTCTCGGAATTCGCTTCCTTTGGCCCTCTTAGATGTTCTTCTTCGCCTCGAGGCCGCCATTCTTGGCAACCTCGACAACATCCACCCACCCCTCGGGCCTCTGCCGCCCCTCCGCGATCAAATACGTCTCGGCCTCCTTCGCCCAGCCGAGAAGCTGCTCCTCGCAACCCCACTCCGCCATAGCCATGAGCCCAATGGGAACCTTACCTTCGCCCTGTACGGGATCGACGTAGCCCACAGGCGCCGTGACGGCGGGACACCCGCTCACGTTGGCGACGTAGACGTAGCTCATATTTGCAATGGTGGTGTTGGCATCAGAGACGCCGTACGCGTCGTCGCCGGGCTGGCGGGGCCAGCCGGGCAGAGGGGTGGTTGGCGTGACGATGAGCATGCCCGGGTTCTGCTCGTAGAGCCAGGCGACGTGCTTCATCAGCAGGTCGCGGAGCTGGGCGTACTTCATGTAGTCGCCCGCGGGCGTCTGCGTGCCGACGGACATTGTGATCTTGTTGGCGTGGTTGATTATGGACTGCCACTGGTCCGGGTCCGGGTGGCGGTGGCGGGCGAGGTCCTGCATCTCGGTGACGCAGGTGGCCGAGTGCATGAGCTGGATCTCGCGGAGGTAGGGGATCTTGATGGGAACGACGGTGTATCCCTGTGATTTGAAGTGGTCCACGGCGCGGCGGCAGACTTTGGCGACGGACGGGTCTGCGCGGGACCACCACGCCTCATCGATGCCGATGAGTTTCGGGGAGGAGGGGGAGAGTGCCGGGGAGGGGGTGTAGAGCCCTTGGATGGGGTCGTCTGGGTTGGGGCGGGACATGAGGCGGTAGGTGATTGTGAGGTCGGCGACGGTGGCGGCGAGGGGCCCGACTACGCAGACCGACGAGTTCATTGCCATTGTGCGGTGGTGGGAGGGCTTCAGGCCGTAGACGGAGTTGAAGGAACTCGGGATGCGGATGGAGCCGCCGGCGTCGGTGCCGATTGCGATGGGGACTATGCCGGCGCCAAGGGCGGAGCCGGCTCCGGAGGAGGAACCGCCGGGGTAGTACGATTTGTTGTGCCAGTTTGTGGGGGTTCCCCAACGGGGCTGTTTTCATAAGGTCAGCTGTTGAACCAAGGGTTTACGAAGATTCCGTCTCGTGAAACGCCGTATCTTCTACTCACGTTGCAACCGTTGGTATCTGCAGGGTCTCATGTCAGCTTTGTTCTGGCAAGTTTTGATAGGGAGCGGCAATACGAACCTCCTCCCAGCTCATGCATGGCGTTCTTGCCCAAGACGATGGCGCCAGCGGCCTCAAGCTGCTGTACAGGCCATATCGTCTTGTCGGCGGCCTTGAACCACGGCAGGTCGGGGCGGTACTGCATTCCATTGTGGCTGACGTAGCCCTTGACGTCGCAGTCATCCTTGACACCGATGGGGACGCCGTCGAGGGGTCCCAAGGTTTTGCCTTGCTTCCACCGCTCCGTGGAGGCGCGGGCTGCGTCGATGGCGAGGTCCTCGCGGCCGTGGGACGCCACCCAGGCGTTTGCGTAGGGTCCCGTCTCGGGTGGGGGGTGACCCTCTGCGCGCCGGATCAGGGGCAACAGTGACTGGACCACGTCCAGCGGGGTGACGGCTCCTGAGGCGTAGAGGGCTTGGTAATCTGCGCTGGACAGATAGCGGCCTGGTTGGTCTTGCGGTGCCGGGGTTGTCAGGTCCTTGGTGAGCGCAAGGGGTTCCGGGTGGGATCCTGTCTCGGAGAGGACGAGTACATCGGGCTGGCAATGAGTGTTAGCGGCGTGGAGATTAGATTGCAGGTGTCCTTTGAAGCTCAGCAGTGAGCAGGAGGTTGGGAAGAACTAGACGGACCTGAAAGCGGTATCTATAATCGACGAGGCCGGGAAGGTCTCTGATGGAGCCAAACTTGGCGTTGCGCCAGAAGAAGCGCTGGATGACGCCGGAGTTGGCGAGTCTATGTAGAATGGATCAGCTCATGAGCTAGCATGTGAGTGAGGCTCAATACGTACGCTGTTGCACCCGCCACAAGAGGCCAGCCGCGGAGGACGGGGTTCTGATCCTCCTTTTGGGTCTCTGTTTTTACTTGCGTCGGCGCCTCGCGGGCACCGGGGTAATTGGCATATTTGCGGTTCGGAGCCATTGTGTATTTCGTCGGACTGTGAAGTTGCTCCCCGGTTTTTGGAGCTGATTTGGTGTCTTGACGTCGTGGACAGCAATTGACACGGACGCCGAGGCAGTTGGTCAAGGATGAGTGTCTTTTGGACCAGCCGACGTGTTATGAAGGAAGAGGAGTTGGAGCTATACGAAAACGTCGAAGCAGAGCTAAAGTAGATGAAAGAAAAGTCTCAAAACCTGGATAGCAGGATCAGAAGCCGTTGGAAAGGGACGTTGAGGGGACCCTTTTGGGGGAAGGTCAAGCTCGGCTGAGTGAATTTAGAGTTTCAGGGGGGTTGTTGTTGGGTGAAGAAGCAACAGAGAGGGACCCTACCTAGGCTAGGAGCTTTGGCCTTGGAGACTACGGAGTACGGATAGAGTAAGGTATCTGTAGCTTCTGAGGAGCGGACACTCGGACGATTTTGGAGGTTGAGGGCGAGCAAAAGTTGAAACGAAACGGATAAGCGAAGCGGAGCAAATTCGAAGTACTCTCTGTTCGGACTACTGTCGTTCCTTCCCTTCCATCACTCCGTAATCACGTCGGACTAAGGTAAGGAGGGGAGGTGTGGAGGGCTCCCTTGCGTTAGCTCGTCTTACCTTACCTCAGATGTCTGCGGTGGTGATGCTGCTGCTGAGTACTGAGGGTAGAAACCTGTTCAGCATAGGTATTCCGTAGAGCGAGAAAGCCTTTCAGGTTTCGGGACCCGCGCGGGAGCTCGGATCAGCGCGATGCAGCGCACACTGCAAGCTCTCTTCTCTACAAAGTAAAGGTGGTTCCCAGCAGCTGAAAGCCCCATTTTCCCAAGAGTTCCTGGGGCTAATAACTTGCCAAGGTATCGCCGGTCGACCGATCTTCCCTGCCCAGTGTCAAGACTTAAAAGCAAGGTACGTTTGACACTCGCAGACGTCACGAGCAGCTTCATATGCCTCGGCATCTCTAGTCGAGTTCTGGTGCCAAAGGTGTGGGGACTGGGGAGAGGAACGGCGGCGCTGCCTATCTCGTGCTTTGATGACATTCCCTTCGAGAGCCCGTGTTGCTATTGGCCGCGCAGTTGATGTGCGGGCAGGTCCCAATTGACTCGTTTTATTCGCTAGACCAGCTAAAGACCCCCGCCAGAGTCCGAATGCACATCACGTAAGACGTACTGCGTAAGGTAAGGAAGGCTTGTGCCCATCCAGCTGGATTCTCTGCGAATAGACATCGAATAGATATCGAAAATCTGACAAGTTTCCTCGACTCGCAAGGGCCTGGAAGAATCAAAGCGAGCACTAGAAAGGGTCCGAATTTTTGGGGTTACTGCTCTGTCAAAGTTGTTGTTTCTGCCAGTGTAAGATGCGCAAAGGAGCGGTCTGCGGGCCCGCGTACGGGGTTCCTCGCCTTATCGCTATCGAAGGGGATCAACATCCCGTTCCATCCGGACGGATCACCTTATCTTATCGATATGACAGAGAGATAAGGAACCTCGGTGCGTGCAGCGTTGCAGTCGCGTCGGGGCCACCTTCCCAACCCCACACACAAGCCGATCTCCCGTCGGTCAAGACACCTCGAGGCGCACGCGACCTGAAGAAGGCGCAAAAAAAAAAAGTCTTTGGCGCCTTCCGAGTCCCGACTACGGATACATCCGCGGAGTATTTTTTTTTCTTGTTTTTCTCTTCTCACTTACGACAAAAAAGAAAAGCCAGTTGGGTAAGGTACCCTACCTTACTTTTTTTCAGTCTGCATGTAGGGTCCTGTTCAAGATATATTTGCACATCATATAGACTGTCTAGGAAACGCCTCAAACTAAAGATACGACATGATCGAAACCGCGCCATCGCAATTCTGTCCTGACTCCCGCGAATCTTTACCCCGGGATCCCATGGTTTGCACACTCCCACGATGGCACGATCGCCACTGCCTCGGGAGGGCGCTAGAGGGAAGGGAGCATCGAGCCGTCTTGTTTTGGCAATCTTTTTTTTTCTTCTTCCTTACCCCGCCATCCCGCTATGAGCTAGTTTCCGTAGACTGCCGTCGAGGAATTGTTTCCAGAAAAGTGAACTTCACATGCATTTCCGAATTGGCGAGGCATAGACTAGGCTCTCATGCAGGTGCATGCGTCTTTCTCCACATCTCAATTCGAGTTCGTTCGGATTCCACTAAGCTTTGGTCACGATATTGCAGATTTTTGAGAGCATTTGTCACATAATTTCACACTTCATGGAGCACTCAGTGACGAGGAAAGGAGCCATTCCCATTTTTGACTCTGTACTTCTACATACGGCCGCGCTGTTCCCGTAGGAATAAGCTGTTTTCTGGCCAGATGCCCATTTCGCTCGCTCGCTCGCTCGGAACCAAGACGCCGTTCCCCTGATTGGAAGTTTCCTCCAAGAAGCCCACGAGGGCCCAAGGTTTCTTCCCAATCCCTATGTCCATGCCGTTTCCCACGGCAGCCAAACGAGTGGTTCTCCCATGTTTCCTGAGGGGTGTCATACCAGAGAGAGAAAAAGAGAGAGGGAAAATGATGAGATACAAAAAACTGAAAAATCCCAAACGCCATGCCAATCCGAGTTCCGTAAAAAACGAAGGAAGTGAAAATCCTTTTTTCTTTTCCTTCTTGCTCATCAGCCCATGTCCGGAAATTCGTCTGAATGCTGGTCATAATCGTGGGTGTTGTTGAGAGCGTAAAAATGTTCAAAGAAGCCCTGGCCTCTGCAAAGGCATCTGGTGGTGTCGTGAAAAGAGGTAGGGTGGTTTTGTTGATGGGTTGTCTTGGGGCTTAGGGTATATGATGAAAGGTAAAATGCAGTGGGACAAGGGCTGCCTTGCCCGCCCGTTGTCATGATGAAAGGATCCGTCTCATTCATGCTCGGAGTTGTTGTGTACCATGTTGTGCGATGTGGCGGGAGAATACGGACTGGGCGGTGAGCCCCAAGATGACGCTGAGGTGAACAAGGGGCGAAGATGGCAGGCGTTGGCCGAGAGAGTGCTTTCTTCTGAACAGCTCTTTATTTCTTGGCCATGTTGGTCTGGAGGCGCAGAATTCTAGTCCGGAACCAAAGAACGAAGCTCGTCCAGGCACCCTGCGTCTTGCGCTTGGCAGTCTGGGAGCGACGGGGACCTTCGAACATGAGCTCATCAGCAACAGGCTCTTGACCCTGGTTGGTGCTGGCATAGTTGCGGCTGGCAAATCCAACGTCGCCCTGGGCACCCATGGCCAGCTTCTCAGCATCGGTAGTGGCCTTCTTGGCATCCGAGGGAGTCTTCTTGCGACTGATGGAAGGGCGGATAATGTCGCTGGAGCTGTTACGGGTGCTGTGGGAGAAGCTCTGCTTTCGGGCAGCCTCCTTTGCCTCTCTCTTCATCATCTGGTGCTGCTCACGCTCATAGCGCTGTGCCTCTTTGAAGTCGGCACGCTCTCGGTCGCGCATGTCCTTCTTATCTTTCTTCTCACTCTTCTGACGCTCCTTCTCCTCCCAGCGGCGGCGCTCCTGGCGGATACGCTCCTGGTGGTAGTTGGAGTCAAGCTCAGAACGAGAGCGAAGGCGGAAGCCGTCGATAGAGGTGCGAAGAGGCGACATGGCAGTGACGGAGGTTGAGGGTGAAGCTGAGGATAAAGGTGAAAGTACAGGTGCTGTACTACTGGGGGCAGCTGACTCTGAAAGCCTGCCTGCTGAGATGTTGATATCCGAGTGACTAGATACGTGGACTAGTCGTGATGAGGTAGTGTTTGAATTTGTACGACTGGTGTTGATGCGCAACGACGGAGGACCAGTATGGTTGTTGATATCAGATAGAGAGGAAGTGCGGCTTGCCAGTGAGGGTCGCCTGGGGTAAGAAGAGGAGGAAGGATTGCTGGTGATGGGGATTGCAGAAGATGAGGGTAATGGCGGGTGATAATTGCTGCGATGATGTAAATAATGTTGATCGAGCAGATCGTCGTCGTCTTCTGTTATTGTCGGGGAGTAGTCGCGGGGAGCAGGAATGCCGGCAGAAATATTGGTGTTGCTATTGCTGTTGGCGTGTTCGATGCTGGCGAGAGAATTGGCGTACGAGAGAGGTGGTGTTGAGGTACGCGGTGTTTGTTGGAAAGGGTGGACGAAGCTGCCGTTTCGCTGGCCACTGCCACTTGTAGCAACACTGACGTGGGAGGTGCCGCTGGTCGAACGGGCGTGGGAGAATTTGCTCCTTCCGTTGTTGATGCTGCCGCTATGGTGAAGTTCGGTGGCCGAGATGCTGAAGCTGACGTCCCTTCCCCCAAAAGATCCTTCCCTCTCTCGTCCCAGGCTGCCACCACCCAAACTGCTCCCATAGTTTCCAAACATCGTCTGCTGCTCATCCCAACCACGGTCCAAATCCAACGAGTTCTTTTCCGAGTGCGACAGCTTCTTCAGTATCGGCTTCACCACTGGTTTGCTTCGCGACTTGGACAATTTGCCCGGCACCGCAGCGCCCGTTACATCCGTGTACGAAGTCATCGTTGCTGACCTTGTTGTTTACAGGCAGATTGCACCTCTTGCAACCGTTACCGGCTTCGGTCCCAGTCCTTTCCTACGCTCTACTGGTGACAGCGTCGCGTGCTGGTGCCGCCGATGTCGATCGCGGTGGCGGCAGCTTGCTTGACGGATCAAGCTTTTCTCTTGACCAGTTGGTGATGGCGATGGCCAGACTGCCAGACCGGGACGAGTCCTACACCATGCAGGCCGGGGCCGCAGACCGCACCCCAGTCTCTCAGAGACGACTCTCTTTAAAGCGACTATGATCACCGGACGCGATGCATGGATCGGGCAATGGGAGACACGCAATGGCGACAAAAGGCGACGGCAGCGGCGACAACGGCTGCTATGGTTCGATGCCAAAGACGACGCGATGTGTCTGGTAGTGACTGTGAGCAAATTTAAATCCACCGAGACGAAGAAGCGGCGGTCATGTCATCCAACATACGGTGAGACTTGGACCCAGATGGGAGGGGGAGCGAGATGAGCGGCGCCGGGGGGGTTATCTAATGGGCGAGATGAAAGGTGGGAGCGACAGGCTGACGCAGCGGAATGGGCGGAGTCCCCAGGCGGATGGGATGGGATGGGACGGGATAGGATGAGCGATGGAGAAGAGTGTGTGGCGGTCGTCTCGGCCTGCCTCACCTTGTCGTTTTCAGCAGACACTGCCCACGCAGAACTGATTCAGCGACTGTAAGGCCAAGAGCTCGTCGGCTCAACCCGAGTGCGAGTAGGCCAAGAACGACTGTCGTTGCCGTTGCCGTCGACCTAGCCGTTGTCGTCCTCGTTATCGTCACTCCTCTTCATCTGCTGTTGCTGCTGCTACGTCGTCGTCGCCGTAGTGCTTGCTGCAAATCGCAGTGGACAACAGCTACACGGTCTACCTACTCCAGCGGAGAAACAAGATGAGGGGAGGGAAAACGAAAATGGGGAAACGAGACACAAGAGTGACAAGACACCCCAAGCAAGTTCAAGTTGCACAAGGGCCAACACCGACCGTCCGCATCGGCACCAGGAAACAGCGAGCCCAGGCCACCGCCAAAAAGTGCGCCGAGCATCCGCAACCCGCTTGGCTACGCCTGAATCAGCCTCATTCCTTTCCCAACTGGCATGGAGCACGTGGGGGAGACCAAGAAATGCGCCCGGAGAAGGATCGAGTGCACCGAGCTGGAGCGCGAGACTTTGACATGGAAGAAGGAGGGGTTACCTTTCTAAAGCGGAAGCAGTGGTGTGGCGTCGTTTGGAACCTTTAGCACGCCGGGTTTTTAAGGTTACGGGCTCTCAGGACAGGCCCAGACGGCTCAGCGTTCCAGAGGTTGCTTCCGGAGTGTCTTGCCCCAGGGAGCGCGGTCGACTTGCGTTTCTTTTCGCTATATCTCTGGCTGACTGACTGGGTTGGGTTTGTTTACAAGGAAGCGGATATGTTTTGTTGATGTTGCGGCTTTTTCCCAGGGTCTGTCCCCGAACAAGGCGTTACCGGTGAGGTGAGAGAAAAGGCGGGCTCGTGGGCCTCAGGTGATCGAATGAGAGGGCCTGGAGAAGTGAGAATGGAGACTGGAGAATCAGAACTAATGAATATTATCTGGGTCTGGTCCCGGGGTCGACCGGGTGGGAACAGACGGGGATTTGACGTCGGCGATGGCAAAGAAGCAGGGCAAAGCGAAGCCGTGCAAGCGATGGTGTGGAGGGGGCCTGCGAATCTACGGCCACTGCGCCGAGGACTATTGTGGAGAGGACGGCATTGGCGCTGGTGGTGTTTCTCTCCCGCGTTGGCAAAGAGGCAGAGAGGCAGTGGCAGTGGTCATGGTAGTGACATTGGCTGCCTCTGCTGAGCTTCTTTCTGCTCACCTCAACGCCGAGCGCAGTGCAAAGAGAACGTGACCTACATACACGAACAGGACTATCCCCACGGTTTCCGAGCGCACCGCCGCACACAAGCACGCGCGCAAACGCAAGTACTGCGTCTAGCAATCCCACGTTACCTTACGCCCAGCCAAGGCCGAAGCAGGAATGGAACAGTGGACCAAATAACGGTCAGAGATTGATGGGATGAGATGGGATGGACGACGTGGGCGAAAGATGAGAGAAAGTCACAGGTGCCAGTCTCCCCGTCGACGGCCTTGCTCTGTAGTAACGGTACCAACAAACGGCTTCTCGCACACAGGACACACTGACTGGCACAACCTTACACCAGCAACCCCCAAGCAAAGTGTGTGTGTGAGAGACACACGGCGGTTGGCAGGTCACCCTCACCTTGTCGTGCGTCGGATCAGTCTCATCTAAACACACAATTCGCCGACTGCAATTTCCAAATAAAAAATCTTTCGCGCGTGGCGAAACCAGAACAACAAGAAAGCCTCCAGGAACATCTGTTTGCGGATGGTGCAAGTCACAGCAGCGGCCAGCCCCAGCCGCAGAGAGAACAAGACGAACAGAAAACAAGATCCTTTCAAAGAGAGATGCCGCGAGACACAGGCCGTCTGGGACACAAAGTCGACCCCATCGTTCTCGAATTGAAACAGAGCTGCATCAAGCTAAAAGGCTACACTCTACGAATGAAAACGCTCCAAATCCCACGTCCCGGCACCTATCCCCAGCCCCCCTTCCGGGCCCTCCCTCAATAATCCTCATGCGCTTGTCCACTCACCGTCTGCAGCCCATTCCTAGCCAGGTTCGCGCTTCACGGGATGTCCTCCACATGCGAACATGGGTGACGAGAAGGAACGGGGCAAAGTGCGCTCTCCGGCAAATCATCTTGACCATCACTTTCCATCACCCACCAGTGGCCAGTTGCAAACGCCAGACTCTCATGAATCAACATGAATCTCCGGCCCGAATGCTAGGCTCACCTAACCACCCCCACAATCCTGCATCCTTTAGAGATGACGCTTGCTTTCCCCCAATCACCATCGCCAAGTGCCTCACCACAGGTTCGGAGTATTGTGCTCAGTGTGTTGCAGGACAAAGCTTGCCTCTCGTGTGCTTATTATATCTGCTGTCAACGTCAAAGGTCGCCCAGGCCAAAGTCAAAAGTTCAGAAGTATTTCCCTTCTCGAGTTTGGATTTAATCTAGCACGCCATGCCTTGTTCATTGTCAAAGGCACTTCCTCGACATGGCAAAACTTCAAGAGACATCCGATGACGATGACGAGCCTCGGGCCGCTTCGTGGCAGCAGCATCGCCAGCAGCATACGATTTCGCCCAGGACTAGGGTTCGGACATGATACACCCAGAGAGAAAGCCGACTCGGTTAACAACATCGACGATGCGGCAGCCTTCGTACGTAGTGTTTTCCTCGATATGTGGGCTGGGCCATTGGTGCTGCCACTACGGTACCGCCGCAACCACCACTACCACCACTGGTACTTCTAGCAACACCAACGCCAGCGTCAACGAAATTCCTGTTTTGCTGGCTTCCAGCTCTGTTCTCTGACAGGCTGCTCCCCGCACAATGCCAACCTGTAGTTGCACGAATCAAGTTGCTCGGCCAGCTCAGCAAGGTGAAGCGACTGCAGGACCACTACCAACCACAACCCTTCTTGCTCGGACTCTGTGGTATGTTTACCCCGCCACCAAGAAGTCTTGCAGATAAATGTCGAATCCTCCTGGAATTCCAAAAACAGACCCGCCCGGTCTTTGTGCATAGTCGCTTGACCATTGCCAGAATGACTTTGGAAACTGGAATTCTTCTGGGACTCTCATCCAACGTCATCACTGATATTGGCGTGGCTCTTTCGGGCTGGCATAGGTAGCCACAGATGCGCCCGTGGGCGCAAACATGAAGCCCCGGGGTGTCTAACAGCATCAATTAAGTGATGAAAATAAAGCCCAATCGAATAGCGAGGCGGGCGATACCCGCGGGCCAAATCCGCAAAACTCTCACGATTTTGATGGCTATACGGCGCTGGGCTTGCCCCACTCTCCTCCGACCCGGCCCCTCTCCCCGACAATGCCCATCTGAACTCAATCTTGAGTTGCATCTCCAACCATGTTTCGACCACTGCACAGATTGTTGCGACCAACCTCGCTCGGACTCGAAAGCAAACCCCAGATCCTGAGTGGTCAAAGACTCTAACTGTGACATCTGGCCTCGACCAGCCTCTTTTTTTCATCGGAATTCTTCGTTTCTGGCACCTAGTGTGAATATGATACTGCAGGGGGACAGACGAGTATGTTGGAGTGAGTGTGAAGAAACAAACGACCCGCAAGGCTTCCTCGGCCAATAATTGTAAGCTGCAAGCAAACCGACAAGGCAGGACATAACAGTAAAGACTTTGGTTTCTGCGCGACCTCTTTGTCTATTGAAGCCTCTAGGCTTGCTTACAGACTCCCCGCTACTCTCCCCCACTTCTTGATGAACAATATGTGGCTGATATCGACGCATGTCGGGCGTATGTACGTACGGGGACTATTTGCAAGCCCGCAGCACGTGAGCATGAGCGTATACCTCAAAATAGCCCCAGCCGCTCACCCGTTCCCAAAGTCTCCTGTTCCGACGGGGTCTCGACGTCCGGCGGCGTTGTTGGTTCCCAGCTTCTCGCAACGTTGTTGGCCCTTCTTTTTCTTTTCTTTTCTTTTTAGATGTGTGTATCTATAGCAAGAATTCAGTCTAAAATATGTTTGTTTCGGCTTTATTCTCCCAATGCCTCGAGGTCCGTAAAGCGGTTCCATCGGAATGGTCTATCCAAGGGAGGCATGAAGAGGTCGGCACTTGGACCAATGGAGCAGCCGTGTGTCTATTTCCAGCTGACCCCGCGAGCACCTACCTGGATGGCAAAAGAGCACACACAAGTTGGAGATTGAAGATATCCCCCCCCCCCCCCCTCAATCTTGTTATGTTGCTATTCTTGAGAAAAAAGTTGGTCTCAGCTAGACCGGTCCTTTCGGCCCAACGGGATGTTCCTCGCTCTTCTGTTTCGGTGTTACGATCGACATCGCTTCCTACTGCTGCTGCCGCCGCCGCTAGGCTTGTGGTCCCTGATGATCAGTTTCCCCGGGGCCGGAACGAGACAAGACTAGACGTCCTAAGCCGCCTTGGCAATATGATCGTCCTAAGAAAAGCTCATGTTTACCTCACATTGGTTGCCGTCTTTTCTGAAGATTTTCGCGAGCGAGTGAGTGATGAGCATCATCTTCTGTCTGCCAAAATTGCCGTAGGGTTTTACGGCGACGGACGGGCTCAGCTGGTGATCTGATGATGGAGGGAAAGTTTACGAATCCCTATTATGCGTAAAAGACTTTGGCTAGACGAGAGATCATTTGCGGGGGAACAGGATTTGTGCCATGCGCCGTTAGCCTTGTGTCAGCCTTACACAGTCCTCATAGAGATCACTCATGGCTCTCTGACCGTTTTTTTGCGTTGAAACACGTTGGCATTTCCGTTTTATTCATATGCCTTTATAAACTTACATGGTAGGAGAAACTCTTATGCTTTGAAGAATTTAGGGCGAACCAAAAGACAGTATAGTAATGGGTTTTTGGTACCTTATGCAAAGCTTTTGATACTTACTGTTAGACGACATTTTTAAAACGTTGAATGAGCTGCAATGCATAGGCCATGATGAACTCGCGCGAGCTCAGTGATCCTGGTGTGCGGTGGCTTCATCCGAATGTGTCTGGTTCGTTTGATGGCATGGCACGGCATTCTTATGCAATGGTTGTCATGCGTGAAGTATCGTGTTTGGTGGTTCGTTGGTAACAAGTCGGCATTTGTTTTCCACGACGACTTGATGGTCTGGCGTTTTCTTGTAACGAATTGAACCTGTGTCATTTGAGTCTACTTTCAATTATCCTGCGAGGACTCTTGTCCAGTTCTAGAGTAACAGTAGCTTCGTGCAGAAGATGGCTTGCGAGACCAAATGCCCAGAGCTCTCTCTCTTCGTGATCGAAGATCTTGAGATCGCCTCTGAGTCGAAATCGATGAGTATCTGTCGGTGCTTTTGGCGTTCCTACAGACGCGATTGAGATTGATACTTGCCATGATGTTTAGCATGAGAGTATCTGTGACCATAGGTATCACAAACCTAGTTTTAAGGAAGCTGGTGAGGGAAGACAGCATATTGCGATATCTCATGTGTTTCTCCAGCGACGGGCACTGGTGACATTCACGGACTGGTCCAGCGAGACAGAAGATGCTGCGCGGACCCGAACAGAGATTGCCACTTTCCTTTCACAATGTCAAAATCCCGACAGCAAATTCAATAATAATAATAATAATAATAAAAACAAAAAAGAGTTCGCCACCGGTGTGGCTACATCTCTTGGTGCTCATACTGGGATTCGAACTCGGAAACTCGGTAAGCCTGTCGTCGAGTAGGCATAGGGGCGTGCGTGTTGATGGTTGACCATGAACCACTCCACCACCCAGCCAGTTTGACCTGACCCCCCGACCTAGAGGGGCGCCTGCTGGCTGGTGACGGGAATGGACTTGAGGGGGTATATGTGGGCTTGTTGGTTGCGGTTGTGGTGTATTGTAGTGAGGGCTGGGCGAATACACGATGACGCGGGATGATGATTCACTGAGTAGGGGAGATAGTTCGCTTCGGTCTTCGTGCCTCGCTCCTTCTACTGCAGCTGGATGTGCTCCTTTCTTAAGTAGACCGTGACAGACGAGATGAGATGATTTACCAGCCCAGTCTGAACCTTCGAGAGTAATAACCCGAGCACGTATGTAGGTCCACGAGGTTTCCCTTCCAATGAATGTCGCCTGACTGTCCCGTCCAGACAAAAACACTGCTTGCGTACGACACGTGACGAGGGACTATGAATGTACGTTGCTAAACTCAATCAGCATCTCATCTACTTTGCGTTGCTCTCGGATGAAGCTGTACTAGAGGCCGTCACTCTGGGCCTCCATCCATCTTTGGGCACTTCATCTCCCGAGTCTCTGTTTCTGCATGTGAGTTGTCTTCCTCAAATCCATGAGAAACATACAGTCCGGCGATTCACGAAGTTTCGTTCCGTTCTTCTACTTCTTTCATAAGAGCCACATTGCTGAACGAAGCTTTACACTGCAGACTTATCAAAGCTGACCATGGGCATCCAATCGCCTCACGTTGACTAGCTGTGGACGCATGAGCTTAGATCTTACACCCCCAGGATCATGTAGAATGTCGTGAAGTACCAGCTTTACGTGTCTATCATATGAAGTGAGGAGACGAACTTCATAGGTTTGTACAAATGGTCCACACTGATCTGCTCTCTTTACCACCTCCTATTCCTGAGCCGTTGCAAGTCAGAGAGACAGGCTGTTTTTGCATTTCTCGCACTTGATCTAGAAGACGGGGAGAGGCTACAAAACTCAGAGGTGTAGTTTATATATTTTGAGAGACTCGTGGATGTAGCATTCGGCGAATTTCATTCAGAACGAGTAAACCGTAAACTCATAGATGCTGCCTTCGTTTACATATCAACAGGCGAGATGGAGTTTCCAGTCCTCAAGAGGCACATCAGCAGGCGCAGAGATATACCTCTTAGATATAACTTTCCCTTCTCACAAACCACCCAAACAAGCCTACGACTACGTTCAAATTGGTAATAACCACATCAACTCCCAGCCCGTCAAATGACATATCTCATCCTCCACAAAGTCCTCCTCCATCTCCATCCCCCCTCAACGCAAGCGATATCCACACCGGTGAGAGCCCATCGCTGATGGAATGACGACCACAAAAACCGTCATGTGTTTTTTTCCTCACCATAACCGATGGAGGGGGGGAGATGCTCAAGGGGGCTGCTTACATCGGTGAGTAGGGGTTGGATAACGCGGGGGTGGTGGGTGGGCTGTTCGTTTCGCTCGGCTAAGCAGAGCCAGAGAGTGCAGTGAGTGAGAATGACAGCCCGAGAGAGAGCAGCCAGCCCCACGCTTGCTTGCGGCTCGCTTTTGCCTGCCCGCCTGTCTTTTCCCCCCTCCCCTCCTTTCCGTCCTTCCGTCATGGCACCATTCGTTTTCAACGGCATACAGCCTCACCGATGTTGCCTATTCCAGCATACCGGTCAGGAAAAAAAAAGGGTACCTACACGCTGGGGGATGGATGGAGTGAGAGCCAGCTTTTTGCCCCCCCGGGAGCCCCCCTTCCCCCTCCCCCATCCCGGTGAGCTGGCTTTTGATAAGGGGATGCGGTGTCGTCTGACCGAATGGGATGCGGATTTGTTATATATGAATGATGACAGAGTTTCTCTCTAAATACCATGGTGTGCCCGGCTTTATGTTCGTGGTCCAGCCTTTGTGTTTCTCTTTTGATCTCCTCCATGCCCGAAAGTCTGACCCCGAGACGTGTGCCTCGCTGGCATGTTCGCCGTTTCCTATGGTAGCACGCCCGATTCGCGTATACCTTTTCGATATGTCTCGTGATAGATGTCCGGACGGTACA